AAAAGTTTCATTTTACACAGACACTTAAGGTACAGGAAATGTGCAGGAGTACTTAAGGTTAACAACTATTTTCCAGACAAAAGATGATATAAAAGTAACAATAAAAATCCATTGACATTATAACACAAACCAATAACTTGCAACTTGAAATGCATAGGTAAACCAACTAGACTATATGATAACACATACAAGTAGTATTCAGGAATCAGTTATTTTATTTTATTTTAACAACAGCAGACAATTGAAGATGGTCGCCAATATTGTGAATTGATCTAAGTTGGTAACACCGTTGGGTGCTATCTTAGTGGTCTAGAGATTAAGCGCTCATGTGCCAGAGCGAAGGTCCTGGGTTCAACTCTTGTGTACGCATTGTTGAGAATTCCCATACTAGCCATCCAGTACTTCCAGGTTTTCAAAAATGGTCTAAGATAAGTTTGTGCTTTATAATCTATAAGAGCTACTAAGTAGTTAACGCTTGGGAATAACTAAAAATGGTGAATCTCATTGAAACCATGAACCGGTGTAATTTAGACCATCACCGTTGAAAACTTGGGAGCACTGGACGACCGTTCCGTCCTAGTATGGGACCTCTCGGGGGTGCTCGTCCACGATCATGCACGAGGGATTCGAACTCAGGGGTATCGGTCTCGTGCGTGAACATTGAACTTCTATACTACTGAGTCAGCAGCCAACAGTGTTAAAGTCTGTCTTTAACTAATCATATCCTCACTGGTGGCTAGCTTTAAGAAATTTTTAGAGTTCTAGGAAGGAGCCGTGAGCAGTCGAGCTAGTCTGTGTCTGGTGTGAGGCAGTTACCCACCGAAGATAATCGCCCTACGTCAAGAATTTATGGAGGTTAGACATTAACACTTAGATGCCGACTCAGTGGTATATAAGTTGAACCTTTAGAAACGAGACCGATAGCCCCGAGTTCGAGCCCCGCGTGCATGATCGTGGATGAGAACTCCTGAAAGGCTCCATACCAGGACGGAACGACCGTCCAGTGCTCCCACGTTTTCAACGGTAATGGTCTAACTTACCTCGGTTCATGAGTTCAATGAAATTCAGCAATTCCCATAACTCCCCGTACTAAAAGTGATATCTACAGTAGAACCAGTTTTTGTAAGCACCACATGTGAGCATTCCACAGTTACTAGTGCAACAATCATTATCAAAAATAGCATTGATACAATATTATTTAGTAAGAATTTAAACTCACTAATAATAGTAGTAATAATAATAATGACGAAAGAAGCGGAAGTGCCAGTTAATATAGAAGCAGTTTAAAGAAAGACACAAATGTCATGTCTAAGCAACAATACATAGTATCCATAATTAACGGAATATTAGTTTTATAAAAAATATTCAACTATAAACAACTGTATATATATACATTCATTCGTATATGTATGTTTACTTGTTTAATATAAATTTAAATATTGATAGATTGGTAATTAATACGTGTAAGTATGTGTTTAAGGACAAAGGAGATTGATGTCAACGAAAATCCATAGTATAATGGTCTAGGTCACAGAAAGATGAACTACAAATAAAAACAAAATTCTTTTCTGCCAGTCTTAACAAATAAGGAATTTTTGGTTAACTATTTATTATTTAAGTAGTGTAGTTGAAAGTGAAAGTTATACAACATTGACATACTTTGTGAGTGGAACTTAAAACTCAAAATCCGTACTACTATGATTTAAGTAGCATAGCAGTATCGATAGTCCTTATGCTAACAGGGGGGCTCAAACGAGAGTATATGAACATGTGCTTCGTAAATTAGTTATTTTGAAAAATATTTCTTGTTTTATCATATAGAAACTAAAGAGCTGTAAACTATGAGGTAATATATAGTAATGCAAGTTCCATAACTAGGACATAGATAACAGCGCGATCCCTATCAACAATCAAACAAGTTGGTTTATGTAGTCTTATGGTACTTTTATTTCAAGTAGATTTTAATTTATCTGATCAACAGCATCATGTTCGAAAAGAAGGATCTAAAGGTTCTGTGAGTGCCAACAAAACTGAATAATTCCAAACTGACACAAAACACAATAATGCAATACGAACAGATATATAGTTTGACTATTGAATCAAGACAATTTGTCTAATAACGAACTATTTCCATATATTTTCTTCTAAATGATAAACCTGCGTGAACAGGTTACATTAAGAAGATATACTAAAAAAGACAATGAAACTAAACTTCGGGGTGACGTATTCAGTAATGAGTTTATTGGCTGTTCACTTACAAAAGGCGATTTGAACTGCATCCAACTGCAATCTACCACTTATCAGATTCAAACATTCAATTTGAGGCCATGGGTAAAGTGAAATAAGTGGTGATCATACTTGAAAGATAACATAATTTTGATATATAATAAGTGTCTATAAACACGAAAGTAGCGAAAACAATACCATTGGAATTTTTTTAGATTATCTGAAAAAAATTCCAAATACTGGAAGTTAAGTTTGTCAGTAAATACAAATATCTTAAAATGCCAAGGTTTCATTATAAGTTACGTTTTTAAGATATATTTCACAAAAGATATGTAAAGAACTACAACAGCGCTAACCCCCTCCCCGATTATACATATTAAGGAAGGACAAATAGTGATTCAACACCAAAAACATGACAATTATGGAAAAAGAGTGAATCGCCACAAAATTGGGAACGTAATAATTACACATTCTTTCGCAATTTTTCCCACCTACGTGGGAAGAAAAAAAACGCGGATTATGATCTCGAGTAAATAAGTTAAATAATCTATGAAGAATCATTTATCGAGTTCAAATTTAATGGTTTAAACCCTTAAATACTAAGTTATGTGTCCTCATAGTGACATAAGTCTATGAAGAGAAGAGGTGCGCATAGGGATAACCTAAATGTCATACATTCAATTACATCTTATACGGAATTGATAATTGACAATAATTGCGGCTTTACTATAGAGTACAGGAATGTGGTTTGTCTTATCTAGTAAAAGGACCACCAAAATTGAAATAGGTAAAGATAATTACGTGATATGGTTAAAGTATTGCAGCACAATGAAACAAAAGGATAAATACTAATGTCCGATTTCAAGGATCTTCTTGTTAGGACCGACTGTTATGTGGCCATACAAGCGTCATATTAGTCATGACCAGAATAAGACCAGACACAAACGTCCATCGATCCAAGCGATATATATATATATATATATATATATATATATATATATATATATATATATATATATATATATATATATATATATACTTGCTATCCAAATAACCAAGATACGAGTGATCTTTTAAGTCGAAACCGCAGTTTATCAGTAAACGCTAAGTGAATTAATCACCAGAATATTCTAGTAAAATTACGAAACCATGTTATTTATAGCTTGATAGCTAGTTTTTCTAGAAATAGCTATTATTTGAAATATCTTGCCAAAAAATTAATCTCGAACTGAGTTAGATCATGAAAGAATATATACTTCATGGAAAAAATTATATTTTCAACAAAAATAAAATACCTTAAAACTCACCACTTTCAACCGAGGTGTGTGGAGATGGAGTAAACGGGCATAAATCTGAAGATTGTTGTTTGTTACAATGATTTCGTTGTTGCTCCTGCAAATGCAATTGATGACCATCAAATTGATGAGGGTTAATAGTATTCATATGAGAAACTGATGATTTGTCAGAGTTAGGATTTAGATGACCAAAAGTAGAGGCTCGTTTGTCACGTGCACGTTGATTTTGAAACCACACTTGAACAACACGCATAGGTACACCTAACTCGGAGGCTAAGGCTTCACGTATCTAATGACAACAGAAGAAAATTATACTGCTAAGGCAAAATGTTTCATAAATCAGTGGTAATTAATAGAAATAAAAAGCTTCACATTAACTGTTGTACACATCAATAGTAGTGTACCAAAAGGGTTTTGTAATAATGTGGTTATTTGCAAACAAGTCTTGTGAATAGTAGTTACGTAGTAAGCAAACCACTCAGATAAGTAAAGTGCTTAGGAATGAACGAACATGGTGACTAGTTAACAATGACCGACACCGATAATTTCAATTATCTTGGGAGTCTCATCATTCTTGATGGTCTAGTGTCTGACGAAATCTCGGCAAGGACTCAGAAAACTCGATTGGCTTTTGCTAACTTGCATCACTCGTGTCGTAGCACCCAAATGCCCTGGTACGGACGATGGTGGGAAAAGTCAGCTCTCCGTTTGGAAACGCTCTCACATGGCCATGTGTATACAACCACTGTCAGGGAAGTCCTACTTACTGCCTTCTTGTGGCGGGGGTGTTGTTAACGAAATTCAGAGGACGAAAAGTGAATGTCCGGCGCTTTAACCGGGTTGGTGAATAAGGAGGATCCACCTAGGGGAGTTGGAAAACCCTGATTCCAAACCAATGATGCACATAAGCTCCAGTATCCTGAAGGAAAAAATGGCGTATGAACCTATTGTTGGTCACCGGCTACCATGGGACTGCATCTGCTGACGTTGCTCCACTGCCTTGTGGATTAGACCTCTAAGTCCAAGGCTCGGGGTGTGGCCCTCTAAGAAAACCACCTGTTTCGATCTGGGCATCCGGGCGGTATCCTAACCCTCACACAAATCGAATGATTTATGTGGTGCATATATATTTGGTGTCTCCTTCAACCAATGACTATGTGTTTAAATAACTTGTGGAGCAGGCGAGATATCCGTCTCCCAACTAATCGATAAGTTAACGGGGTAGTAGTTCGCTCCGTCCAACTTTATGGGTGTGAAATATGACCACTAAGAATGGGGGATATCTGTATGTTACTAGTATTCGATCAAAGGTGTCTACGAATCATTGCTCGTGTATTTTGGGATCACGGAGTAAACAATGCTTGGTTTAGGAATAGAATGTTAGACAATGATAGTAGATCGATTGATGAGGTAGTAAATGTTCATCAACTGAGGTGGTTGGGACATGTGTTACATATACCTAACCACTGCTTACCGCGACAGATGTTTTCTGACGTAAGAAATATAGGCGAGAGAAAAGCTAAATGTTTCTAAACCAAGACGTGACACCAGAATATGAAGTCAATGAGAACTCGATTGAGTCATACCAACAATAGATGTAGACTAGTTGGTTGGTGCCTGCATGACTATCGTACCCAATGGTTAGAAAATTTAAATAACATAGTTCAGGTGCATTCATTATTTGTTGTATTACAGAACATGTGGCCAGAAATCTCTTTGCATCTATTTATTTTCTTTTTCTATGACTAATCTTTTCTTTTATTAATAATGCTATTACTACTTTCATCATTGTTGGATTTGCCTTGAAATAATTTCATCTCGTTGTGCTAATATGGTATAGCAACTCCAACCAATCCACATGTTCCAGTTTTCACGTTGCGTATGACTGATTGACTGAATAAGGACCATTAGCGATGTTCGGCACAGTAGAAATCAATAACAAACGATCGTCCACAATCATCCGTACATTTCGAGAATAAATTTAGTGAAGATTATTAAACATCAAACACGATTTCTGTGTCAGAATTTCTTTGAGTTTTAACCGAGTATAGTTATCACTGTAAACGAATAATTCCCTTTTTTAACACTTTGAAGTAGGCCAGATCTGAAGTAAACGTGAAAGATATTGGGGAATTTTGTAGTCTGTGACTTTTGTTACTCGTGATTTTGTGTAATATAAGTCAAAAATGTTGGAAATATTGGTAACAGTGAGTAATTTCAAAAACACTGGTCGCCAGAGTTTTGGTACATTTCTTCTTTGAAATGCGACTGGCAACTATTACGATCTCATTATGCTGAAGAGCTGACCACCAGTATACTGAAAACTGGTCATCATTGACTTGCATGTACTAGTCAATCCACGTGGTAGTTAAACAGAACTTGACCTGCAAACAAAGTACTAAATACAAAGTTCACAGATCAATGTAAAGTATTGGCTAAATAGTTAAAGAACACAGCTTTCAGTTATTAGTTTACCAGCTGCAACTCTAAACTATTTACCAAGGTTTGAATAAGTGCATTGTTATTTTAAAATGATAAAAATTACCATAAAACGAATTAGAACTATCATGAAAAAAAAAAGAATAAGTGTTTGATTATAATAAGTAAGAAGTATGAGTTGATAGTAGGGTGACAAATATAGTAGGAAATTTCAGAGTAAACAGCATGATATTGTGAACAAACATATTGACATAACAAGTAGGTTAAAGCCTGAACACATAAATCATTAAAGGTTACACAAGAAATGTGCGTGAATAGTTAGATTAAACATGTAAGTGGTGAAAAAGCACTATCACACAAGGGATGTGAAAAATTGGTAAAATTGTTAAGTAGTTGTATAGAGAAAAGCTTCACCAACATGCCAATAAACACAATTCTTTAGCCGCATGCTCAGAGAAATACAATTAGATGTTTTACAAACAAAGCAACCGATGGTTAAAGACCTTGAATAACATGGCTCAAAATCGTTCGCAATGGCGCAGGTACAACCACTCTTTGTGTCCTCCCAAATTCTAATCTTCTGAATTCTTCATGTCCCTTTCTTTTTTCTCTTTTCAAATTTATTTCACTGGATTATACTCCTTGAGTAACATCTTCAAACCCTAATTTTTCCGATTACTGCTTATACTCTTACTACCTCTACCACTACGGGATTTGAATCGACAATTGTATCTGTGTGCTAATGTGGTATGGCAACTTGAACTGATGTACGTACGTACGAAGTTTTACATTGTTGCTGACTGACTGACAAACAGAGCTAGGAAGATATACTCAGATGACACTACAAACAAAGAGTTCATACATAATATAGTGATTAAAATGAGATGCAGGATTTCCTGAAGAAATATATGTATGCAGTGAACAGGAAGGCACAGACACTGGTTGTTTGTAGGAAACCTCACTTATTGTAGCTACAATTCAACAGAGATGCAGCTAATGATCTACATCAAGATAAGCTAACTAGAAAAGTGGAAAGGATTTTCAATTCAGCTAATCTCTGTCTGTTATTCTCTAGTCAACTTATGGTAGTTCCATAGCTAAAAGATAAGTTATCTGATTCTGCCTCATCTATCTATGTTTAGGAATGTAGCTGGTCCTGTGAAAACTACACTAGGTCTACGACTATATAACATAGCCAACGAGTGAACGAGCGCCTCTGCAGTTAGGAAAGGGTCTGGTGCGACAACAACAGTTTGATGACTCTATTACGTAGGTCGACAAAACTGTATAAATATATTAAAATGTTATCATTTACTGTTTTATATTGCACAATCAACTATCAATGTTAGTAACAAATAAACTTACACTTTTTGACGGACGAATATTTGATTCGTATGCCTCCTGCAATCGGTAGCGCTGTTCGTCAGTAAGTGAAGTTCGTATACGTCTATTTAAACTAAATCCTCCACTACTAACTGATTGATAACTTTGATCTAAATCTTGATTAGCCATTGTTGGCCAATCATTTCTATGACTTGTTAATTCAATATCATCACATTCATTTTGTCGATTAGATAAACAATAATTTGATGAAGATTGATGAATATGTTCAGTGTTTTCATCATACTGTCGCCAATTTCTAGGAGATGATGACGATGATGTGGAGGATTTGAGATCGGATGATTGACGATTATTTATTCGGACAGGATAAACAGTAGTAGATAAAGTTGAAGTTTGATGATGATTAGGTCGTTGTGGCAGCATTGGTGATTGCTGTCTCTGTTGTTTAGCCATAAAATCGGAATGACACATAGGTCGACAAGTAACAGGATCAATAATGTAGGCTTCGCCAGCTGCTATTGGTTGTTGACAAATGCAACATGTAAAACAGGAGACGTGAAATATTAATTCCTGACTTAAAGAGGATAATGTAGAATTAAGTGGATTTTTAACAGAAGTGGAATGTTTTGCACGCATAAATAACTCATGGCTTCGCATTGGTTGTCGACAATTTCCACATTTAGTTGCATAAAGCCTGAAAATAGTTAAATAAAATTTGATGGTACACAAACTATGTAAACATTAGATAGGTGTGTAATGTATAAAAAAATAATTGCATTTTAGCATATACAATCCAATTTATTCAGAAACCTGTGAAGTACACATTAATTGATAGAAGGAAGCCAGGGATACCATTAAGAGAATGACTAAATTTAAAAGCATGACCCGATAATAATCAAGTGTTCGTACAACTTTATAAAATTCAATAGAATTTATCAAATAAAACGGATAGAAAATCAAGTGCATTAACTTCGACCGAATAACTAATTAGAATTTAAAACACTATGTATTAATATATGAGGTTGTTAACCGATCCTATAATATTTCATTTGTGCTTTATTACGATACATAAACCCAGATAAACACCTTTCGTGGAACAGGATTAATTGGAAAGAATTTATTATTTCACCAGTCACAAAACGTAACATCTAGAACACAAGTGCTTAGAAATTCAAGTTGTTACATAACATCATCATAACAGAAAAGAAAAGAAATAAGATGGAGAGTGGAGGTGCACAAATAATGATACCCAACTACGACGGTTAATTAATCATACCTAATATGGTTATAAAAAAACGAATGAGATTGAAAAGCGGAAGACATGAAATAATAGTAAGTTAGAGATTTAAAGGAGGAGAAAAAAATGAATATAGTTGCGGTCGATTATGGGCCAACAATTCCTAACCACAGACAACGACTATTAAGGGGGTACTAAATACGGAAACGTGTCTGCTGATATTCTCTATAATTTGTCCGCATATATAATGTAAAGCTGGGATTATTGAAATAGTTGTAATGTTTCAGGACCAAGGGGAACGAGGAAACTGAAAGCGTATTAATCAGAATAAAATACTAGGAAATACAAAAAAAGAGTGAGATCTATATGTAAACAGCATGTCAATTATTTATTTATTTAAACACATAGACATTGGTAGAAGAAGGCACCAAATATATATGCACCACATAAATCATTCGATTTGTGTGAGGGTTAGGATACCGCCCGGATGCCCAGATCGAAACAGGTGGTTTTCTTAGAGGGCCACACCCCGAGCCTTGGACTTAGAGGTCTAATCCACAAGGCAGTGGAGCAACGTCAGCAGATGCAGTCCCATGGTAGCCGGTGACCAACAATAGGTTCATACGCCATTTTTTCCTTCAGGATACTGGAGCTTATGTGCATCATTGGTTTGGAATCAGGGTTTTCCAACTCCCCTAAGTGCATGTCAATACCTAAACCTGATCGACAAAATTCAATCAATATTAAGAGCTAGATGAACATGGAACTGGTCACTACTCAGTGATTAATCTATGCAGATATCTGATTCCTACAAGTCAGTCGCGGTCTATATATTTCGGTCATGTCTCAAACTGTGAGACTGGGTTCGAATTCACTAGGGAGCAGCAGTTTCCTCATGATTGGAGGTAAACCTCCGACTAACTAGCTCCAAAACATAGCCCACTCGATCACAGCTAACGACTAGGCAAACATGACATTCGTCACTAGTCAGTGATAAGTCGCTGTAAATGGTTAAACAACATAGATAGAAAATATAATTCTCATTCACCAACTACATATTTGCTACTCATGCTACATAACAAACGATTTAAAAGAGAACAATCTGAAATCATTAAAGTCTTACCATATTAAAAATAAATTCAGTCAATATAACTAGAAGGCTACATATAGCCACAAGTATTACAATGTAACACATCAGTTGTCTTAAGAGTACACTCAAAGCCTGGTAATAAACAAAGGAAACTTTGAGCCTATAGCTATTGAGTGTTGATAAAGCTCCTCAAGTTTAAAAGTAATTTAAGTCTAAGTTCTATAAAATCTATACATCATTAACGAACTTGTTTCAAACTTCCAATCTTCTGTTAACTTCAATTAAAACCCTAGAACTATAGGCCCTAAGATACTTTAGATACATAATATACATATTTATCTGATGTTTATTTTAGACTAGCAACTATGAAATTACGCTTCTCAGTAAGTGTAACCAGTGAACTGTAATAAACATAAGCAAACATGATAAAGTATACCGTCTATCCATGCACGTGAGCATGAAGAACCAAGATTACAGTTCACAAAATAATAAAAGTACAAAGTGTTATGATTTATCTTGTGTCAGCTTATTTTAACGTTAAATACTACCAATGATTTAGCAAAAGTTGTTTGGAGTTCAGATCTCATACTATGCAAAAACTTATAATAACCACGATTACAGCTTAAAATAATCAAAAAGTTACATTAAAATTTTCAAAGAATGAATTCTTTGATATTTTGAAAACATTACCGTAACTTGATTGACATGTAACAAAGGAAACCCATTGTGTCATTGACAAAAGAATAAAAGTAATTCGGTTGAAATATCTTTTTTTCGATATTTCTGACTAGTAAACTATCCTCACTCACCTATTCTTCTGAAGCCTCTAGATTATTACGCACCCATCCTTCGGTATCTAAGACCTCCGGAATCTATGACCTAATCACTTCATATTCTTTTATAGACTCATATATTTATTAAGTCACCATAATTATGATTGTACATGTGTAGTAAATGATACCCTCGAAAAATTCCTTATTACCGAATTACCTTTATTCTTTATTCAATTAAGCGGTGACTTAGTGGTTAAGGCATTCGACTTCCTGTCAACAAGTTCTAGGTTTGAAACTCGCTCCACATAATTCGGTTTGGATAACCGGGTAGTATCATGATTCCTCACACTTCGAGTGTGACTCACACCCAAGTACCTAGTGAATGAGTTAATTTACTATTTATTTTTGTCATGTTAAAAAATAAAACAGAAAAGTTACAAAATTTTGCACAAAACGGTCAAGATTAGTAATGGATTAACTTACCGGTCATAGTCTCGGTGACACAACAGTTCATTTTTGTTGACGATAAAACATACTTCTACGAGTTCAACTGAACACACTGAACAGATTGCGCACGATTCGTGCCAAGCTAAACCTTGAATACGATAAAGATATTGATCTGTAATGTTTTGTCTGCATCCAGCACAAGTAGGAAGAGGATCTTTAGAAGATGGATGCGAAATTAATGGACTATGTGATACATCAAGAGTGGATGAGACATTTACTGAGTTGTAAAGAGCCTCCCGATAACCGACTCTTTCTGTAACGCAATCAGAACTGTGGTGTCTTAACAGACCAGGAAAGTAAGAATTCGGATCTGCTGAAAAATGAAAAAAAACCTATCGATCAGGATAAAAATCATTTTAAAAAATATATATATAATTATTTGATTGCTATGAGATAGATGAACTGTTGAATATCAACTGTATTTAGGGGAAACAATCTATAGGGGATAGTACAGTTGGTCAGAATGTAGTGGTCTTGTCCGGTAACTTAACTTTTTACAATCAAACTAGATGTAAACGCAAGCGGGCAAGATAAAGAATTCCACTTTATAGATACAAAACGAGTACAAAAACACTATATTGTTTAAGATCGCACTGACACGATTGCATATTAACAGTATCTTATGATAGAAATAAATCGTCTCTCTAACCCAAGATCAAATCCTTCAGTAACGTACAACCTACTGGAAAAGAAAACCAAGACATACTAACGGAAGAGTATTTGCAGTGAAACTGGATGAGTTCAAATCAAGTTTCAAATACGAGTATATTTTTTAGTAAATTCTAGCAAAATCAAAATACCACTACGTCCGTCACACGAAAAAGTTTTAGAGCTAACTTTTAAATACCCCCCTGAAGCCCTTTTAGGGTCACTGCTAGTCTCAAGCTCGTGTGAAGGAGGAGGGTTGGGTATGGGGTCAGCAACCCCATCCCGTAGAAAATAACCTTGCTAACAGAACGCTAACCAGACGAATGTCACCTAAACAATTCAAACTCTGATCTGGAAGTTGAAGAATATTCATTCAGAAGAATTATGACGCCTCTTGGTGAAAGCCGAGATTCTTCGAAAGTCATGAGGCTGGTGCCTCTTCTAACAACCAGAGCAACAATTTAAATATGTACATGGAATGCCCGGAAAATAAGGGAGACCGGTAGGACTAACCAAATAGCTGCAAAAATGGGGAAATACAACTTGATGGTTCTCAGAATCAGTGAAATCCATGGGATTCAAGCTGGACAGAAAAGGTTAGATTCGGGAGATTTCGCTGTACTCGGGTCACGAAGAGGAAAATGCTCCACACACACACACACACGAGTTGCTCTGATGCCGTCCAAAGAAGCACGTAAAACACTTAGACGATGGGAAACTCATGGATCCAGGATCACCTAAGCATCTTTTAAAACAAAGAGAAACGGAATCACAATGAATGTTATCCAGTGCTATACGCCAACCAATGATAGCAATGAAGATTATAAAGATCAGTTTATGAGAGGCTGTAGTCGATCGTAGAGAAATGCCCAGGAAACGACCTAACCATCATGATAGGAGACCTGAATGCCAAAGTTAGAATAGATAACACCGGGTATGGAGATATTGTGGGACGACATAGACTGACTGGAAGAATGGAACGAAAATGGCGAGAGATTTTCAAGTGTATGTACCCTCAACAAAATCGTTATAGGTGGCACTATATCTCCCCACAAGCGTAAATACAAAGTGTTATGACTTTATGTCCGGCTTTCTATCACGTGACTTATCCACCAATCAGAATACGACTTATACAAATCTTCACTCTATGCCAACCAATGACGTTCAACCCGTATGAGCAGTCTAGTGTCCTTATTGGTCCTATGTCCTCCTAGCCCGTCCACTTGAGTCCAGAACACAATACCACCTTCTGCAATATGAATCAAATCGTTTATTTCAGACATACTCGGTTTATATGTCAATCAGACAGACCACAATGTACCATAAAATAGAAAATAACATGTGTACACAAATAAGCCCAAAAAGTGTCTGTGAATGTGGGAGGCAGTAGTTAATAAACTGAACATAGCTTAAGAACAGTAAATCGTACAATAAACTATAGATCAAAATAAAGCTTGTAATAAAAGTAATATAAATATACATAGTCCAATTGTTGAATAGTTATACAGTAAGAATATATAGATAATATTAGTCAATTAATGTCTCAGAAGTTACTCGTGATTCAATCTTCGCTCGGATATAACACCCCCCTTTTTTGAAGATTCCAAGTTAAGATTCTGATTTTTTAAAAATTATATGTAACTTTAAATTCTCCAACATTCTCCTCCTCCGCGAAACAATTTCGGGTCCTTATGTCTCCAAATTACAATTAATAGGACTTTGTTTAAACCATGTTTCTCGTATTGAATGTAGAATCCACTAGAAATGACTAGATGGTAATGAACGACCTTTGATTTTAGTTCAGAGTTTGGTTCTTCTGAAGCATTATTTTCAAATTCATTAAGAATCTCATTAGTAGATGAGTCATTAGGAAAATCAACATTCAACAAAATTAAATTAGATTTTTGACCGCCATTTGACTCAGCCGACATATTTTCCTCATTTTTATAGGAAATTTCATCAAAATTTTGTGCATTATTATAAGAACCCATATCTGGTACATCGTCATTAGAAATCGGATAACTTGATTCAATATAAATTTCCGTCTCCCACTGATTTTGAGTAACACTAGGTACAATTGGGTTCATCGTGTTGCTCCAGTTATTTTCTGAATATAAGTCCCCATAGCTTTCTCGACTAATATCACGTGGACCATAATTTTGTTCTAGCTGACGTCTATTTTCAGAGCTAGACAGCACCAGTAGTGTTTCATTTAATTCTGGACTCTGGGCTTCATCTACAGGATCTGGTTCTTGATCATCTGGTATTGTCACAACTTCATGTGCATTTAGCACAATATTATCTTGGTGTGAGTCGGACAACTTACCAATATTACATTTTGCTTCAGGTATAAACGGATTTGAACCCTCCACAGGATATGCTTATGAAATGTCCATTACTGCACCATTGTCTGCATCATAAATAGATTTCTTATTTTCTGGTTGGGTGAAAAGTCTGCCAAAAATTGTTTCAAATAGTTGTTGTTGAAAGGCTAACATGCTGGTGCTGTTTTAATATTAACTACAACTGTTCTAAAGAAATCAACATTTTTTTTTACTGCTAAAATCACTGGTAATTATTACAGCTAATTTCTTTCCAAAATCTGAGTCACCAATTGTTGTATTACTTTTTTCTTACCAAAATCCCCGTCGCCAATGTTGTTTTCTCTTTCTTACGGTTATGACCCAGCTATTCCTATTGCTAGTATTCTCGAACACCAGTACACTCGACAAGTCCCCAAATCAGAACACGGTTAAACAGGAAAGAGATTATATTCCAAATAACAAGGTTAGATGGAAGCAAGAAGCAAGTAAGAAGCACAATAGAGAAAACGTTAGCATATTTATAGTTTTTACATGAGAAGATTCCAAAGTATTCTCCAACTATTGACTAGTGCTGATTGGATAAGAATTAGCCAATCAGCGTGCACCAAAGCAATCGTGCATTGAGCATGCTTTAATCCAGTCTATGCCCCGCTAACACAAAGCCATATGGGTCTCACCGGATCACACTACAGAGAACCAGATCAATCGTGTTTGCGTCACTAAAAAATCCAGAAGGTGAATCGAAGACGTGAGAACAAAGAGAGGAACTGGGAGAACACGAAGAAAGCAATTAACAACAGCCGAACAGGAGCAGAGGTAGTCATGACACAGGCTGAATACACAGAAGCAAACAAGGGAGTGAAGAGGAGTATTAAACTCGACAGGCAGGAATACGTGGAGAATTTTGCAATAACAGTGGAGAAAATAAGAGACAACAAAGTAAAGGTGTCCATAAACAATTGTCTATGTAAGATACTCCTGATATGTTGACCAAATACCATCAGCAACAACCTACTGTGGGAGAGAACAAACTAGATTCAAGCTGAAGAAGAAATTAGGAAAAGGCGTTGGAGGTGGATAGGAAATACATTGAGGAAATCACCAAATCGCATCACGAGGCAATCCCTAACTTGGAATCCTGAAGGAAACGGAAGAGATGAAGGCCAAAGAACACTGTTAGCGGGACAGACTAGATTAAAGCATGCTCAATGCATGATTGCTTTGGTGCACGCTGATTGGCTGATTCTTATCCAATCAGCACTAGTCGATAGTCGGAGAATACTCTGGAATCTTCTTATGTAAAAACTATAAATATACCGACGTTTTCCCCTATTGTGCTTCTGACTTGCTATTTGGAATATAATCTTTTTCCTGTCCAACCGTGTTCTGATTTGGGGACTTGTCGAGTGAATCTGTGTCCGAGAATACTAAGCAATAGGAATAGCTGGGTCATTAACCGTAAGAACACAGAATATAACAGTGGCGACGGGAAAAAAAACTAAAGAAAAATGGCGGTTTCTTTAGAACAGTTGCGGTTAATATTACAGCAACAGCAGAAGTTGTTAGCCTTGCAACAACAACTATTGAACACACTTTTCACTCGACCAGAAAATAAGAAATCTGTTTATGGTGCAGTAACAGACATTTCAGAAGCATATCTAGTGGAGGGTTCAAATCCCTTTATACCTGAATCAGAACGTAATATTTGTAACGTTTCCGGCTCACAGCAAGAAAATCCTGTGCTGAATGCTCATAAAGTTGTGGCAATACGAGATTATCAAGAGTCAGACCCTGTAGATGAAGCCCGGAGTTCAGAATTGAATGAAGCACTACTGGTCCTGTCTAGCTCTGAAAATAACTTTCAGCTAGAACAAATTTATGGTCCACGTGATATTAACCAAGAAAGCTATGGGGACTCGTATTCAGAAAATAACTGCAGTGACACAACGAACCCAATTATACCGAATGTTACTCAAAATCATTGTGAGACAGAAACTTATATTGAATCAGCTTATCCGATTTCTAATGACAATGTATCAGACATGGGTTCTCAGAACAATGCATGTTATTTTGATGAAATTTCTCATAAAAATCAGGAAAATATATCAGCTGAGTCAAATTATGGTCAAAAGTCTAATTTAATTTTGTTAGATGATGATTTCCGTAATGATCCATTATCCACTGATGAAATTCCTAATGGATTTGAAAGTAATGCTTCAGAAGAATTAAACTTTGACCTCAAATCAAAGGTCGTTCATTATCATCTAGTCGTTTCTAGTGGATCCGACATTCAATGCGAGAAACGTCGTTTAAATAAAGTCCTATTATTTGTAACTTGGAG